TTGGCCTGGCCATGAACAATTAGGGATGGCAAATGAACAAAATTGTTTATCATATCATTAATCAGAGATTTCCAGCACTTTGAAAATCCGTAACAACACACGTGAAAAAATACGTTACGATTTTATGTGTTTGATATCGCCAATCAACTGCTGACATGTTAATCGCCTTCCGCGCCACTTCGTCATGTTGATGAAGGAATGGCAAAACCTTCACCATTCTCAATATAACGTCTTTTGTTAAAATGTTCCCGGATTATGGCTGCTAAAACACTTCACAATTCCTATCGTTTACAAATAGTGACATTCAAAATTTCATAGAAGGGGAAAAAATACGAAAATAAAAACTCGAAGTTGCGTTATCAGTGGCTTTAGAACTGGCATTTCTCGCGGCTGAGAACGAAAATCGATAACTGGAAGGTCTGTCACAAGCCGATTTTCGCCATGCTCATCTTTCTTCTGTCGTTAAGGAAAAAGTTACTCCCATCGTTTGCTTTTGTAATGATTTAACGCATTTTTTTTATCTTGAGCCCAATCGCACTTAACGACTTAACGACTTTTTTTCGCGGATTACGGATCCAATTTTTTTCATTTACTAATGAAGTCGACTTTCTCTGTCAGTAGAGGGATATTTCCGTTATGTATTAAACAAAATAATACGTGGTTATTCCATGGCCTATTTCTATTACAATTACATGGCCTATTACGAAGTTCGTGACAAGACGTAAAACATCTTTCCCTATTTTTTACCGAGCTCAAACCTTTCCATCTCTCTTATTCTATTTACAAACACGATACAGTCGACTTTGCTGATCTTTGCAGTATGCAGGACACGTGTCATATTATCTTCGTAATAGGCCTCGCTCACCGTGAAGTCTATGCGCGGAAACCAAAGGTCTAAGGTTCAATTCCTCAAGAGAACTCAGAATTTTTTTCTTTGTCTCACGCTCGTGACGAAACGTAAAGAATCTTTCCATATTTCTTTACCGAGCTCAAAACTTACCATCGCTCTTTTTCTATTGAAAAAAATGTTTTTGGGGGAATTGAACAGGCACTTTGAACACTGTATTTAACACATCGATAAAAAGAGAGACAAATAGACGTGGTAAACCTTGGCCTTACTTTATTTTCACATGAACATAATTCATATCCAATAAACATTTAAACGATTGAATGTTGGAAGTACACTTTTAATTACTCCAAGGTTGACTTTCTTTTCTGAGAACTTGAGGTAAACCAATGGATTTACCAATGACCTGTGAAAAAAAAGTCATCTGCCACCAAGAGTACTATTATTATAGTCATTACTATCATTTTCTTTATAATCATCATAATGACTAAGTGGAACGACGCGGGACGGGATTATATTTGGCAATATCGAGGTCACGAGCCTGCACGTATGACCAAAAGCCACACATCTTCCTATCTGACCCGTTAACTAACTAATCAAAAGAACTTTATGATGAGACCCCACTCTCGCCCTACCTTCCTTTTTTCTTTCAGCTTGGATCTCACAGGGCCGTAATGTTTTCCCACAATGCTCGCGTCATGACATAAGCTTTCAAACAGGGATTCTCAAATAATTTCATTTTCTGTATTTGCTGCACCTACCTTAATGAATGAAATAACTCAATCAATAAGGTGGAGGGTGGGGAAGACAGAAAGCCTTTGTAATTATCTTCTGTTAATCATAATTTCAGCCGCCGTAACTGCCCTCTCTAGTAAACGCAAATAGTTTTCCAGTCACAATATAAAGGTGGGTGATACAAATACTTCCAAAGCGTTCTTTCGACTTCACACTTGGGTGTTAAAATAAGAAGTATAGGGTCGCACAACACCTTAATGATGTTTAGCAACACTCATGGAGGTCTCATGAATTCATTTATCTCAATCCATTGATTAAGGGCGTTCTTTCAACTTCACACTTGGGTGTTTAAATAAGAAGTATACGGTCACACAACACCTAAATGATGTTTAGTAACACCCATGGAGGTCTCATGAATTCATTTATCTCAATCCATTGATTAAAGTTATCAGTTCAAAACAAAAGTTAAACGTTGCAGGTGCAACTTTTAAGTACAGAAGGTAGTGTCCCATAATCAAGGGATAAGTATCCGATGTCATATCCAAAAGCAAAAGAAAGGAAAAATTTTCTTCAAAGCAATTAGAAATTGATTGTTTAATGATTCTGACCCTATTAAAAGAGGAAAGAGAAGGAAAATAATTATTTTATGCATTGTAAACCTTAAAACCTGCCTAGTGCAATTGTTTATAGGACTTTTTGTTAATCAACCCAATCGAATAAAACCGAAACTTACTCCGACTCTTAACTGATAAGCTACCGACTGTGAAGCAATCAGTAAATCATGTCGGTCAATGACCCCTACAATCAATAGCTCTACACTTAAATTGTTCTACGCTTTCTAGAAAAAGGAACTAATTATTTCCTTTTAAAAACATCCTGGTTAAAAATGTATGAACTCCTGAACCTGTTGTGAAAGCTGACTCATACTTCCCAACGAGTGAACTGTAATGCTAACTTTTTTAATAGATGGTTGCAATTGCGTATGGACTAAAAAACTTCATTGAGTATGCAGGCTCTAACATTACTCTTTACGGCTGGGGTAGGTTTATTTAATTTTTTTTTTTGAAACGCGTAAATTGGGGCTCTTTATTGAGAATTTACAATGCCAGAAGAGCTTTCGTTAAGTTCTTCAAGGTCAACTACAGGTGCTTTTATTTCATATGCAGCTTGTAGATGGACTAAGATGTGCAGACATGAATAAGTGTCACTGATAACCTACTTTATTTCCCCTTTAGAAACTGGCTGCAACGATTCACATCAGACTATGGATGATAGTAATGAATACTTCCTTACAGAGTAAAGGTTTGTTCATTTTTTATTAAAGCAAAAGACGTTTCCGTATCCTTCCTCGTAAAAGTAATGCATTTTTTAGAAACGTCAGCTGTATTTCAGTCTCGTGTTTCAGTTTATATCATGGTAGCACTTCGATCTTTGTGCGACATTCATTAAGCTGCAACGATGGCAGATGAAAGATTGACAAATTTTGAACTAACTAAAGGGTCAAGTTTCCAAAGAAACTGTTGTGCTGCTTCGATGGGTGGTATCACAAGATAATGTGGTTTTATCACCGGAGTTGATAGTGCAAATTGGCTATCGTAAAGAATTTTTATAGCTGAGTTTCGAGCGAGAGCCATTTGTCGTTTACTCTTACGAAGGGCTAACACTGGCAACTTCAGCTTTAAAAAAGTTGTTGAGATGACCAGTTTTGCATTGTCAACGCAGTTGATAAAAACAAATTATCTTGTAGAACTCCCTACCGAAGCAACACCACAGTATCCCTAGAAACTAACGTATATAAGTATAACAAATTCGAATACACACAAAGCAAAATAAAAGGCAAACAAAAAACAAAACAAAAAAACAAAAACAAATTAGGTTGGAAATGTTAAAACGAAATACTTTGCCGTGAGGCCCAAAGATGTTTATTAATGTACAGAGTGCGAGACGCTTGTCACTCATTCATGAATTTAGTCATAACCTCGCTAACCAACGAGTACTCTGGCCTATTTTGCCAAAAATATATACCGTATTTACCCGTGTATAATGCGCGCCTGTGTATAATACGCACCCTAATTTTTGACCTTTTTTTTCCGAAAAAAAAGATTTCATGACAAATACCAAGAATTAAAACTTCCATTTTTTCACTTAATTAACAAGAGCTGGGAATTCATCAATAATATGTTTACAACAATTTCTAACTAGTTGCTACTACAAATATCGAACGCACCGAGCACCTATTTACAAGCTTTTCTATTCAGTAACAGTCAAACGTTTTATAAATGTTGTAACTTGAAGTCCTTACTAATATACCTAAATTCACAACTTGAATTATTATCATAACAGCCGTTCAGAAACATTATTTCTACTCACAGTACTGCTGGTAGCTTGAATATAATTACTGCATTGCAATTGCGTGATTTAAGTAAAATGTTCAGTGTCTTTAAACCGACTCACAGTCCGATTCGAATAGGTTTTCGATGACTGAATCCTCAAGTTCATCAGTGATCTCAGTTGAATTGTAAACCAATTCATGTTGTGATCCATTCGAATTGTTTGTGATCCCACACTTCAGAGAGAGGCAGCGATCATTTCTGATGGAATGCCTTCCTACGCTTGTGAAATATACGAACAGATCAGTTCCTCCGAAGCCTTTTTTTTGTCGTCCAGTAAGTTCGTGAATTCCATCAGCCATCCACTCCTTTCGGACTCCATCTCTAAATGGTTTGTTCAAAGATACATCGAGCGACTGGAGAAGGGAAGTTCGCGTTTGAAGGAAGTGTTCACAGTATCTGTCATGTGAGCTTCAAATGAGTCGTAAACAAGCAAGCTCTTTCTCCTTCCCAGGCCACCGATCCGTGCACTTTTACTTTCTTTGTTGCGTTTTTAACGTATGCATATTGGGACGTGCTTGACAAACAATAGAATCCGTGTATAATACGCACCGCGATTTTGGTGCTTGTTTTTATAGAAAAAAAAGTGCGCATTATACACGGGTAAATACGGGTATATGACCACGAAATCAGAATCAGTAAATTTTTAATCCTTGTGGCTCATTCAACTTTCCTACAGGTCATTACAATGTCCAAAAGGTCACTAGATTTTCTTCCGCATGTAAAAATCACTTAAATTTTATTTAAACTTGATTTCGAAACGTACATGTGAAATTTCATTTTTAACATTTATCACATCCCAAATGAACTGTCCTCTTGAAAAGATATTGCACAGTAAAAGGAAAAAATCATGTTGGACTCACTTATCTTAAACTAATTTTTCAACAGCTATTTCAACCCCAGCAGAATGTACATCGTACACCACGCTTTCTGAGTCAAGCAGATACTGGATAAATACGGTAGGAAGTGAATGTGATAACCATCTCACTCATACCTGGTATCGCTTCTCAGGGGCAGCCGGGATAATGATGGCTACTCGTTGTATTCCAAGATACCGCTGCAATAGTCAGTTTTCCGGATGGATCAGTGGCTCTAATCCAAGTGTAGCTGACGGGAAAGTCACTAGAACAGCATGCATGCATTCTAGCTCAGGCTGCTGTACTTATTCTTCTTCGGTTGAAATACGGAACTGCAGTGGATTCTATGTTTATAACTTACCGCCAACTAGTACATGTTATTCACGGTACTGCGGCGTTAACAGTAAGTGACCTTGTAACTACTCACTAATTTGCAATGTACTTCCAGTGTTATATCGACCATCCTTTATGCTCCCATTTCTATCACGACTCTCTTTATTCCCAGTGTTTAAAAGTGAAGTCGTCTTCTCCTGAACAACGACGGTACTCCGCTTTATTTTTGGCCATATTCACTTTGTATAGGTATATATACCATACGCAGACTTAAGAGGATGACGAGGTGGATAAAATTTCTTAAGTCGTTTGCAAGAATGGGCAATTGATAACCAGGAAAGATATTCTCGAGGTCTCAATAACTTGACGTTATAAGCATTGATCTGTGTGATGACGTTCAATGTCATAACTTCAAAAGCAACTTAAAAATTGTTCCTGACGCATAGTTTTCCTTCAAAAATAACATTTTGCTTGTGGACAGGTGAAAACGACGCATGTTTAGCGACAGAGGGCTCAACGGAATGTTCCTGTCCAACAGGATATCAAGGCACTCCATGCCAAGGTAAGGGTTTGTAACTATAGTCAAAACAACATTTTCCTGGAATAAGATAATTTTATTTTATCCAACTAAGTTGATAATGTAAATTGCTCTCCATATAGAGTTCTAAGGCTGACTCTTCGAGCGTTGGCCCTTCGTCAGAGCGAAATCGAAGGGCTAACGCTCGAAACGTGTCCAACTCAAGAAGAACTACGTAATTACACCTCAAATTTATTTTATCTTTGTATAATTCAGACTAATCCTTTATTCATTTCTTCCACACAAAAAAATCGTCACTCCAACAAAATCCTCCGTGAAGTGACCTTACTTAATTCTTCACTAGCTTTTCACTCTAAATTTGTCTTTTAGTTTATCTTATTTTGTCCCTTTTTCATCTAATTCCGTTCCCGCGATGAGAGACGAGATCTACAAGGAGGTACATCTTTTTTTCTGTCATTAGACATTGATGAATGTGGGCAAGGTACGCATAACTGTCACTCAGAGTCAATATGTGCCAATACTCCTGGATCCTTTACCTGTGCTTGCAAGGATGGTTATACTGGTGATGGTGTATCTTGTAGTGGTAAGAATCTTCTTACGCCTCTTAAAGTTAATATGACTGTCAATAATGATAACAATAATAACAATGACAAAAACTATGATATACGTTTATTTAAAAATTCATAACGCCTGAAAATGAGGCAGCTAGATATTGTTTTTAAACGTTAATGTTTGAAATGATTCAAACGGTGAAGCTGAAAATAGCGGTGAGGTCTCTTTACATTCCTGTTCATTGAGATATGGATCCAGCTATCAAAACTATCCTAACCACACTCTAAACAATCTTAAATCAAGCAGAAAATATCATCTAAACGTTATTTTTTTAAAGAAACTGTCAAAAAGGCTTCTATTTAACACCAAGAGAGAATCTTATTAGCTAATTAGGAGTCCATTGATCGTCAAAAACTGCGGCTCAGATTAGACCTCGATCCAATAACCGACCCATTATAACTGGAAAAGAAAAACCAAGCCTAAGAGCGGAGCTCTTGTTAGTTTATTTTCCAGCCCTTCATTATATTGAATAAAAACTTTAATAAAACTCTTCAGCACTGGCTGTAGAAAAGTTTCCTCAAGGGAAGTTAGGGACCAGGGGTGGAGAAGGGGGAAGGAAGAATTGACGAGGTCTGGAGCCTGAGGATGACGTTCTCACAACTTGCAAAGCGATCAATACGAATGGTAATCAGCGGTATTTTCAAGTAGCTAAGGACCTTCGTTGTTGTTCCTGGTATTTTGAGCAAATTTTCGAAGATAGGAATTGTCTTCTTCAGATGGAGTGTATCATGTCAGCATCAGTTGAAATTATATTCTATTGAGCGTGACTGATAATTTCGGTGTGGGATAAGGTGAACGCACGCACACGGAACGTGATAATACGCTCGCACGCTAATGGCACGACACGCTTACCATGAAGATATGTGCATAAAAACAATTGATTTTGGAAAGCGTGTTGTAGCCATTGTTCGTATCTGGCTAATATAGTAGAGCTTTGTTTCTATAACAGGCTGGACTTTTCTTTTTTTTTTTTTTAACGCGCTAAGTTCCTTTGTTCCTTAACAATCTAGCTTTTCTTGTATAACCCACCTTACTTTGTTACTTGTGTTTGTCAGCTTCTTGATTGTGAGAATGGTGTTTGTAAAGTATATTACTTACAAAATATAGGCGAAAATGAAGATCCTCTGTCCTATCCGAAAGTTGCAATAAAAAAGGAAACATTCACTGCAAATTACGGCTCTTTCCATAGGATTTTCACAAATAGTTCAGTGAGCACGACGTGTTTCATAAGGTCCAGAGGAGCTCAGTTTGAAACTATGAATTGCTTTTTTTTTAAACTTAATTTTTACATTGTACAATATAAATCCTTATCGCTTCACGAGGTTAATAAGCCCAGTACTGAATCCTACGTGGTCGCTGTTCGTCACTCTATGCAAATCGGCATTTTTAAATTAATAAGTGCTGGTTACCCGCTGATCTCGGCATCTTACGAGCTCTTAGTCTTTAGCACTGCGGCCTATACCTTGCGTAGCGCAACTGTTATGCTTCTGTTGATGTTGTCTTCACGGACGACGAGATGGCAAGGTGCAACACGTCAGGAACTAAAGGTTTCCAGCAGCTGGATAGCGGAAAAATTAGGCTTTCTTGTGTCCGTTTTACAAAGTAAGTTTGACTCGCCATGTTTTGGTGAGCAGTGGAATTAGATAGCCGCTCGCATTAATATGAAATGTAGAGGAAAGAGGAGGACTCTTACTCATAGACTTAAGAAAACTAGTTTGTTTTGAAAATACTGAGATGGCACAATTTTTCCATCTTTTATATAAAAAAAGTTGTTGGTCGTTTGATTGAACAGAGTTTAGCCTTTGTTCAGCAAAACCGCGCTCTAAGTTGTTTTGATTCTGGCTAATCCTAGCATATAAACATTGCTAATTACTAGGAAAATAAAGAAAGCATAAAAGGCAGACTAGAAAATCATTTATCTGCCAAAACAAATAACCTTCACAAACAGGTGAGGTGACGACACTCAAAGGAATCTATAACGCTTAAAGTTTGCCAAATAGAATGTCAGTTAATCAAAAATTATATTACATATTTCATTATTTTGTAAACCCCGTCCGTATGAACTATCTATCACTTCGACACACGGACTGTCGTACTTGTCGGTTTACAAATTTAACAATATAATTTTTAATGCCTCGGAGACTAGCAGAACAGATTAAAATAGCAAGAACCTAGTTTACCCTCAGCGAAGTAGCCATTTGCTTTGCATCATGCAGGTTCGCTCTTATTATTTTAAAAAGCTTGTGCTTGCTACCTTCAAAAGTTCATGCACGATTTCAAGAGCAAAGTACTTTGTTTGTTCGTCCCGTGTTTTGAAAGCTGTTTGAAGAAAATGAGGAATTTGAAAATGAATGAAAAAACCCAAACACAGTTTTAAATTATGGACAACAAGTCGAGATATTCCTTTATGTTTGGCGAATAAGTTGCACTGGATATCGAGTATCGTATATCGGCCGGGCGTATCAGTGAGCTAAAAAGCCTTAAGGCGTAGGACGTACTTCTTGTACAAATCGAAAGCAACTTTAACTTTAAGAGGCGTATTATAAAATTGGCACGGTCACATTGTTATATCGTACAAATTGGCAAGCAAGATCTTAGCGCGTTCCTTTTGTTCTACCGTGCGAAGCAAAACAATGGCTGCGAAGGTAAGGAGGCACGTAACTTACACGCAGCGAATGCGTTAAAAGCTCGTTCTTTTGTTTCAGCGTGCTAGTGTACCATGTGCGTGCGTTCACCTTATTCCCTGAAATCCCGTGGAGGGTCACAATTGAAAGACATCACCGGTCGATTAAGGAGTATACACGTGAGATCAGTAAGTCAGTAAAACAATAGCCCAGAATCGTATGGGCTTCTCTTATATCTTCTCCTGAAGTTGCAGCACCGTTTTTCCCAAACGTTTCAACCTCCTCTGTTTAGCGAAGAAAATTAAAAGGAAAAGAAGTTTGCAACTCGTGTTTGAACCTGTAATTTTTTTAAAAATTTTTTCCCTTTGGCTATTCTTGTTCACGATTGTCCTCTGGCTGGAAATACACGACGTCTTTTTGAGATTTTTTCTGCTATTGAATCTGGTAATCTCTGCTGTAACTTCATTGATATGGTTGTCTTTAAAACAACTGTCTATGATCCTCGCAACTCTAGTCTATGAAATACGAAATTTGTTTTTGCGCTGCGCAAGTTTGCTTAAAGGAAAACAAGCTAGAACTAGAACATCATAATTAAAATTTGATGACGAAAAGAGACTTTGGATTCGACCATGAAGACATTTGTAGAAAACTTGAGACAATAAGTGGATTTCATTTTAACATCACAGAAATCAACTACAAACATCAAGTTTCTTCTTTGATTTAAAAGTTGAGCTGATCTTATTATTGGCAACATTAAATAGGTTGAAAAATTTTAGACGTTATTTTCTTATGTTTGCAAATTATTAAGTTTACCGGAAAGTTGATTTGTTGCAACATTTTAACATTAAAAACACAACAATAAATATTATTGATATGTAAAAAGTTTCATTTAACTATCTGCTGGCAAGTCTTTGTTCTTTATTTCAACCCAACCATTGTCAAAAAATTGCGAACACCGTTACAAAATAATTTGTTACAGAAATAGGAATTACGCATCTTTGTCTGGTGTCAACCCAGCTGATGTCCGTTCTGGAAACTATTTGAGAAAGTGACGCATATGAAAAACATAAATTGAGAATGCCTTCCTTAACGCAGGTTTACGCTCTTTTTATTTTTTTCTTCTAATTTGCTGACCCCTCAAGTCGAATGTTACTACAAAACAACGGACGGCAAATGCTGCAGCATTCCTTTTACCTACGGAGGAGTAAAGTATCACTCTTGTACCACTGTTAATCACCACACACTTTGGTGTTCACTAGACTCTACCTACAAGGGCAACTGGGAAAATTGTGGTAAGAAACAACAGCATAACAACAGAGTAAGAGATGAATAGAATATTCTGATTAGGCAATTAGCTATCTCAAAAATAAAAAGAAACTTGCCAAAAAAAAGTTAAGAAAAGCTTTTCTATAATGCTCAATGTGACTCAATTGTTTTTAATGCTCTCAAAAATTGTAATATATTTATATGTTAACCGCTCGTCTGGAATTCTGAGGAAAACAATCTTGAGGGGTAGTTGCAACTTCTCTCATAAACCAGCCTCTGACGTTAAGGAGGAAGTGTTTCGGAATGTAATAACGTGATAAACTTCGCGCGAAGTCCTCTTCTACTGTTGTGCAGTTATTTGTCTAGGAGGCAGATTTAGCCCCACGTTACGTTTCCTGATTAGTGTGCTATGTCCTGCTGTTCAGTTCTAAACTAGTATACCTACACCATATTGATCAAAGATATTTAGTACTTTTAATATGAACAAAAGGAACAACATAATTCCTGTTTGGGTTTGCCAGTGGTGTTCTTGTATGGGATTGTCTCGCGGCCTTGGTTTGGACCAACGGCATAGTTCTTGTTTGTGTTTTTCTTTTTTTTCTTTTTTTTTTTGTTTGTTTTGTTTTGTGTTCAGTAATCGGCCCTTAATAGCATAGAATATGTGCTCTGTTGTTCACTCCTACAAATCTTGTGCAAATATTTGGGTTAGTGGTTTTATAGAAAGCTATAATCCTTCAAGATTGACCGGTCTATAACCCAAATATGTTCTCTGATAATTAAAAAAAGATGAGGAAGAGTAATAGGCTTGTCTTAGTTTCTTGAGCAGTTGAATAGCTAACTGAATAAAGAAGAAAATCCAGAAGAAGAGTCTCGGTTCCCTTTTGCTTAAGCAAGTGTTCTAGAGTCAACCTACTAACGTTGGTCGTAACACTACGATTGATATCCATGTCTAGACATGAACACCGACCCACCTTGTGATTTTCAATTCATTCATTGTACGTTATGTGTACGCCAATTAATTTAACTTTCATGCGTCAAAAATAAAAAAACCCTTCTCTTCATCTATGTGCCCTTAACATTAAAGGGGAGGAGGCAGATCAAAGTAAAAACATGAGTTAATATAGGAGGGGCCCCCATTAATTTCAGTCCTCATTAAAGGAGGATCCTTGCTTTTCCAGATTCCCACCCTTTCAGACACATATATCTTGTGACCATTTCCTTATATCGATGTTTGGTTTGGGAATGGGAATTGGTAAAGGAAACTGTGCAATAACGAAAGCTTGAGCAAGAGTATTGAATGCAATCTAAATAATAATGTTGAATGTTACAATGTGGTAACTCACATAGCAAAATTATATAATCACACAATTCCACACAAAGGAAGTCAGGTTACTGACTCACCTGCTTCAACTTTAGAGGGCTTAGGGTACAGAGAAATAGATATGGTAAACAGTTATAATTAATACAAAGTTGAAAGTCTGAAAGCTAAAAGATAAATAATACAATCATCAATCCCTATGCACCCTGACGAAAAAAGGGTCACTTACTACCATAACTTCTCCCAAACAGTCCCGCTTACATGAATCGTTCATTTTTGTAAATAGTTGATACTGTATTTACAATAGTTCTACCAACAGAAATACATCCGCACTACCTTGAGTGATCCCAAACTCACGGGTACAATACAATCATCAAACCCTATGATTTGTTACTGTGGATTTCACTCTCTTTTGAGGCTAAATATCTTCTAAATAATATCTTCAGCTTGATCATCCTGTGACATGTGAAAACATCAAATTTTACTCACTATTACAATTAATTACCTGAATCAAAAGTGCTAATTAATAACCTACTTTCCTTAAATGTGCTCCAGAACAAGAAAATTGTATTGAAGAAAAAGAAAGTTCTTGAAATATTCCATGTTAAATGAAACTTTGCTAGGAATGTATATTGCGAAGGCAACGGAAACATCTGTGAAGCTATAATAGCAATTACGTGTTTATTGTTCATCGCGGAGTAAGATAGGAGATAAACTTTATTCGTTTGTCTCAAGGCAAAACAAATCCGTAAGATAACTTATTTTCCCATAACGCCACGACTGCATTAAGCATTCCAAACGATAGGACAAGAAATAACTTGCGGAATACGAACACACTAAAATGTTATTCGAGCGATGAACCAGCGCGAGGGTTTTTAAGCGATGAATGCTAAAGTCATTGTTTTATTGAAACGTGATTTTAATTAAAAACTCAAGCTAGAATCAAACGACAATTGGAAAAAAAAAAGGTTTGAATTTTCTGGGCCTTAGCGTAAGAGAAAACACAGGTAAACCACGACTTACATCCTATTCTTTTCCGGATCCTTTGTATTTCGCTTCTCTTTGTTGATGACCTCTTTTAAGTCTTTTCTGGAGGGTCTTTGTATTTCCTCTCGCGTGGCTCATCGCCAGATATTCGCTTTTACTTACGCCTTTTATTGTTCTCTTTCGCGTTTCTTTCGTCGTATTCTTCCTACTTTGGCGTCCTTTCTAACTTTCTTGTGCGTTTCTCTCGACTCGCTTTACGCCTTCTACTTCTTGCTTTCTTCGGTCGCTCTGTCTCTTTCTTTTCAGCCCATTTGAATTTCCTCCGGTTGACAAAGCTTTAGCTCTGCCGGTATTGTTGCTTTGCGAGTTGATTTGAAATTGTAAAATACTGAGAATCGCTGTTCAACTACAACCTCACCAGTTTAATTTCCCTCTCAAAACCCGGGTTGAAAATTATTTGCTTATGCGGCCTCACATTTACTAGCCCACGTGAAGCCCTCTTGTGATGCCTAACCGTGTGCCCACGGTGCGCTGTACTAAAGCTCGGCACTCGCGATCGAATATGCGCATTTCATTTTCATCTGCCGCATGCAATCGCGTCCGCGCATTATCTTCTTCCTTGCCCTTCCATTAAGTAATGGCCAACATATAGGCTGCAATGCAGTTAGCCGCTCATGCTAAAAGTAGCACCTTATACGGTCGGTCATAGAGTCTCAAGTCCAAATTTTTTCGGCTTGATAGGTTATTATTATTTCCTATATAATTATGGGGCTACGCTATGATTAAAAAATTACGCCGTGGGAGTTTTTAGTTAGACTTTCTTTATAATTATTGGTTTGCTAAATTGTTGAATCATCTATTTCTACTTAGAAAATAAGTGCTAACTCATGAAGGTTTGCCCCACAGTATGATCGTATTCTCTTCATTTCTCCTTATAAATAATAGGTAAAAACTTATAACCTGAAAGTTATAATTAGATAATCACTTTATTGAAATAGAAATTAATAAAAGTGAAACATTATGGACATAAATTTACACAACCTTTCTGATCACGGATTTAGACATCGACGAATGCACAAATGGTGTTCATGACTGTCACCAAGATGCAGATTGTGAAAACACAGCTGGTTCCTTTACTTGTAGCTGTGAAGATGGATTCGCAGGGGATGGTCGTCAATGCACAGGTGAGATATCCCTTCTTAATATTCTATTTCCTGCAATTGATCATAAAATTTTGGGGATCGTTTTCGAGTTAAAGGAAATAAGAAATCCCGGCAATGAGATTTCTTATTTTTAAGTTCTGAGGTTTTTGCCATCAGAGTGCAAGATTTGCAGATTTTCAAGAGTTTTAATAAATGTCTTGGATGACCTATCGGAAATCATGTTTGACTGCGATTTTTTTGTTCATTCACTCCTCACTCAGAAAAAGTCAGAGTTCTATCGCGCTCTCTCATTCTTCTTCGTCGGAGTGTGCACAAAGATTATGTAACAGTTTGTTGATAAGATATGCGTACTGCGTATTGCTCCTGGATTATCTTTCAATTAAAGATGATTAGCTCAGTGTAAAGTAATTTTTAAATGTCGTGTATGCACGAACTAATTATGTCTGTCTGGCTGCAGATGTGAATGAATGTACAGATGCCTCGCACAACTGTCACGCCAAAGCAAATTGTTCCAACACTAAAGGTTCTTTCCTCTGTGCGTGCATTCCAGGATATTCAGGAAATGGTATTACGTGTACTGGTACGAGAGTCTTAATTTTTACACTGCTCTTTATGATATTCAATCAAGAATATTTATGATTTACAATCTCTTGATTCAATTTATTTATGAGACACTGAAGTGGCGTGGTCTTAAAGTTCTGTCCTACTGTATTTTGAGCTTAAAATGGTTAAAGTCTAAGATTTATTGAGCTACTTACATAAAACGAGGGAGTTTGCCCAATGAACTAATTTGCATAATTCGGCTGTCACGCTACCAAAATCACTAAAGTTTGAAGTCACCAAACGTCTTATTAGAAGAAATATAGCGGACTTTTCAATGGTCTGGCCTGGCCGGATTTGAGCAATATCAACCAAAAAAGAAAGAGTTCTTTTGACTAAATCCAGAAAGCTGTCTAACAAGCATTGTTATATAAAGTAAGACGAACCTCTGAATAAACGAATATCAAAATTGAAATGCTTTTAATACACCTCACATATCACACAGTTAAAGAATACAAAAGACTCCTTGCTTCATGCGATATGAAACGAGGACCGGGCTTTTCAACTTTTGAATTTTCGATGTCGCAAGAGGTCAAAAAAGGGCCTTTTGCAGCTTTGACTATTGAGAGCTCTAAAAAATTTTATTTTAATGTATTTCCAGAAACTAATTTAGTTTTATTTACACGCTACCAAAGAAATTTTATAAGGGAAAGTTTGAGGGAGAATTTTGGTCCGATGCGAAATGCCTTGGACCGCTCTTACTGAGATCGCCACTTAAAATTTATTTGACAAAATATTTTAGTTCTGTCAAATTTGTTACCGGGAGAATAACACACGTTGGTACAAATATTGTCCAGACGCTATCCATGACACTTTTTCCTTACCCACCACCGCTACTCAAATTTGAGCGAGTTTACTTTTGATTTTTTTTTTTTTACTTAAATCTCGGAGACATCGTCATCATCGGCATATTTCTACTTATTATTTAAGATATCGATGAATGCACCAGCAGTATTGACGACTGTCACAAAGACGCACAATGTTCCAACACCGATGGGGCTTTTACTTGTAACTGCAATGCAGGATTCACAGGAGACGGCCGGCAGTGCACAGGTGTCATACCCTGAGATTCAATTGTCTTCTTTCCTTCTCTTTTTGTGTTTTGAAATCATTATTATTATTATTATTATTATTATTATTACAATTATTGTTATTATTATCAATATTATTACACTCTAAACATTTTGATGGTGATGATTATTATTATTACTTATATCAAAACAATGGAATCCAAAAGTATTGTTGTGTGACTCTGGCAAAGTGCTTATCGTCAAATTGGCCAGATCTTACATAGGTTTTTTATTGAAGTTAAAATTGAAGTTTGGTGGCTTCCATAAAATAAGATAATTGCTATATCTTAGAAGCAGAGAAAAAAACCGAAACAAAAAAAAAAAACAAGCAAACAACACTTTCTTCTATAGGTCTTCATTATACTAACCGTAACCCTACGCTACGTTTCAGCAATTCATGTCAAATTAAAAAAGCAAAACTATCAAAGCACTAAGGCTGAGAATGTTTTTAAAATATTTCATTTCGTGCCATCCGGAAACGCTGTATTTGACTGCTACAGACATCGATGAATGCACAATTGGAACGCACAACTGTCATTCGAAGGCGGATTGTTCCAACACTTATGGCTCGTTCAACTGTACCTGCTTCAAAGGATATTCAGGGGATGGTGTCACATGTAATGGTATGCAAAATTGTTTTAATTCCTAGCACTCCATGTAGATCATTATTTTATCAACCCTGTTCAATCAAAACGACCGGATATTGAATGATATTATTTTTGCAGCTTTCCAGACTGCAGTAATCCTCATTACTGCTAAAGGATATCTGAAACAATGAGGATAGCTAACCGAATCAAACGAAATGAAACTGATGAATAAAAATGAATTAAACAACAAAAGAAACAAACAAACAAAACAAAAAAGAACATAATTTTGTTACTCGTATAAGGATAGTTTCCGACAGCCCCAATATTACGAGGTATGCCGTCCTGCATAACAATAACAGAGGATAAATACACACAATCTTCCCCTGATAATGGTATGATTGATACGTTCCTTTAGATATTGATGAATGTGCTACAGCAACTCATAATTGTCATGGTGTAGCTCACTGTTACAATAATGAGGGATCCTTCACCTGCAAGTGTAGGACTGATTACCATGGAGACGGGGTCTTATGTGAGCCCTTAGGTAAGTCACATAGTTCTTTCTTTGACCATTAGAAAATTAAACCTTATGAAAATTACACACGGTTAATCTCGTTTTCCTGTGATTGGTTCATAAGAAGGCGATTAATACGTTCCTTGAATTTTTTTTTTTTTTACAGGAGATTTCTCAATAACTATTAGAAACATATCCAAGGACAAATATTTGCCAACTACCGTCAAGCGGTCTGAAAAAAGTATTCAGCAGGCAATCATTAAAGATCTTCCAGATAAACCTGTCTTGGAAAGCGTTATGGAATGGCATTTAATCAGTGAAGAGGAGTTAGCAGCCTCTGAATCACCAGTGGGAACCTTACTTAGTCAAGGAACTACGCAGTGGACCATAAATAGGCGATCCGTACCTTCTGGAATCTATCAAGTAAAGTTTACTGCGTCTATTAAAGTCGGTGATTCAGTATCCTCAGGAACTCTCAAGGCTTTTGATTACGGCTTTATCAGAGTTATTCCAGCTCCTTTGCGAGCCATAATCGATGGGGGAAGCAGCGTTCTTTGGGGTTCTAAAGACACTGTTACTGTGGATGGATCCCTAAGCTATGATGTAGATGTTGGTCCTGGAAATTATAGTGGGCTGACATTTACCTGGTCCTGTTATCATGTTGGAGATAATAAATCCTCCAGCGACAATTGCTTTGGTTCTTTTAAGGGTGATGTAACTCTGACATCCATAGGCATTATCCCTAGAGGGCTTGAAATTAGAAAACTATACGTTCTCAGGCTAACAGTGTCCAAGGATGAGAGAAGTAATTTCGCCGAAATTGTTTTTGAGATAGCAGCTGGTGAGATACCTCAAGTTAGCTTGAGGTAATTTAAAACGATTGTTTTATCGTACTTTTCTCCTCTTTCGGTTATTCTCTATACATAATCGCTACCATCTGTTGAAGCTTTTTAGATTACATTATAAAGTTGTGATTCTAGTGGCTTCGTTTTCCTTCAACTAATCACACGCAAAGCTGAAGCTTATCTTGATTTAGCCTCGAGCAATGTTAAGTGCGTCGTGAATGTGGCCTGTCTTGTATATCATTGTTTTGCTATTATTGTTATCTTCTCGTCATATCAATGCAAAATGAATTATAATAATCAATGCGATTCATCTCATCTATTTTAATGCAGGTGTTTCGTAGATTGTGGTAAAATAGTGTCTGCTTCGAACAAGTTTCGAGTGACATCAGAGTGTGTTAATTATCCCTGTATTGGTTCAGAGTACATATGGCAATTAATGAAGTTGAATGATGATTTAAAACAACTGGAGCTCATAGCTATTCTACCCAATATGACATCGACTGCGATCAATGCAACCAGCATGATTATCAAAAGGAACTCCTTGCAGTCAAGCTCAAAATACGCCCTGAACTTAACTGTAATACCCCCCGGTGGGACAGCAGGATTTGCAGTGCTCGAGTTTGAGACAGCTGGGCAGCCCCATAGTGGCTACTGCGTGCCATCGGCCGTTGTAGGTTTCTCTTTGGAAACAAAATTTTCATTTGAATGCTTTGAATGGCAAGATAAAAGTACACCACTATCTTACGAATTTCGCCTTGGAGAAGAGCCAATATCGTATGGCACCTCTGCAAAATCTGTCTCGACAGTCTTGCCCTCTGGATCACCGGAAAACAATTATCAGCTCTCCATTAAAGTTATTATCAAGAATGCTGTTGGTGTGGCTGTTACGGAGAAGCTCTCCGTGAAGGTAATGATAAAACTTTACGCCTCCGAAGGTTTCTCTAAAAGGACTATTAAACCTATCCAGTGGTACAAAAGCACAACTTTGATTGATACGTCAAGTTGAATAGGATACTAAGTCCTGGGGGATGGTTTTACCCTCCTCACACCGGTAGAATAAAGTTAATGAACTCCAAGTACTGGGAAAAACACAAACGTAGGCGTATAAAACGGGAAACCTTTTCTCTCTCCGAAACGAAAGGAGGAAAAGAAGAATCGACGCGAAATGATCGACAACAAGTAGTTTTTGTGATTTAGTGACTTAGGTGACCAATATTTTTTTCAAGAACAGGTTAGTTTGAGCACGATTTGATTGCTGCACCAGTCGAAAGGCGTAAAATATTTTGTAAAAAGAAAACTTTAGTCCGCAACATTTTAAAGCCCTCTAATACTTGTCCTGTTTTCCACAAGGTGATGCCATCGTCCCAACTCGATCCTTGCCGTTCATCAGTAGAAGAAGTTTCTAACAAGTTGAAAAGTTTTGTCATCGGGGATGACAGTGACTTGGATGGATTACTGAAGAAGGGTGAAATAGGTCAAGCCACCCAGCTTGCTATTACTGTCCTCCAATCAGCTAATGAGGAAACAGAGTGTGGGCAAACGCTAAGCCAAGATACCAAAACACTAGTGGGTCTACATACCGTGATACAAACGAAAGTCGTTTTGAGATCAATAATCTATAAGTTAATATTCTCAAAACTAGAAGCAGAGAGCTGCGGATTTGTTTTTGTTTGTTTGTTTGCTTAATTAATTGCTTGTTCGTTATGTTATCCATTAGTTAGCATCTCGTACATGTATATACGATTTCGTTGTTCATTTTTGATATTCATTTGGTGTATCAATTTCAAAAACTTTTTTACTCCTTGTAAGCTTTTTTAGCACCCAAAAACATTTTAAAATCTCATTTCCCGGCGTAGATTTCAAGTACGTTGGTGGAAAAGTTCACCTCCATAAAGCCGGAGGACCTTCAGATGTCTAGAACTGTAATGAGTGTTGTCAAACTAGCAGGTGGTAACCAAGAAACTCAATCTTGCAATGACTGCGGAAACTCCGCGGTAAGCATCAGAAACTTTTTTTACATGTCAAGTTATCTCTTCTCTCGAGTTGGAATGTGTCAGAGAATACATGTAAATTTTAATCGCAATTAAATGCCTTTAGGATGAAACCATGAAATTAACGGACGTCACAACGGAATTACTTAAGTCTTCCCTTAATGACATAGAAGAGCCATTTTCTGATGAACTGGAAGAATCGGCCGCAAGTATCACCGCTTGTCTGAAAAATGTTCTAAAGTCTGCCTCAGGCTCAGGCAAAGAAAGTGGAGATTCAAGGAAGAACACCGGATCTGAGAAGGTATGACAAAATTAGATTCACGAGATTTTGTAGACGACAACAAAATGTACTGTGTTATCCTGTCTATGTCAAAGAGTCTCACGAAGTTAAAATCTTGTGTAATTGAACTTTAACTAATTGCGAGAAGATCAGAGTGTTTGTATCAAGAAAAAAATGTCCGACCCCAGAAAAAACGTGAGCACTACAAATAATTACAACAAACAATATCAAACAAATAACACTCTCAAAGGCTCGGTCAAAAAATCATTTTTACTCAGAAATTACATAAGTGGAACATTTTATGAGAAATTAATTTTTTTACTTCAGGAACGTGTGAAGCAAGCTGCTGAGAAATTAGACGCTATGAACGATGCATTTTTCGCCCGCCTGGTTCCGTCCGAAAATCTTGTCCTTAAGTCGCCTGGCTTGACATCGTCTCTTAAGAAAGTATCCGCTGACGGTATAAAGGGTCTTAATATGGAAGATGGACCAACTAAATTTAAACTACCTGGAAACCTGGGAAATATGGCCGATGGAAATATTAATGCAAAGGTAAAGAGTTTTAGAGTTTCGACATACAGCAAACCTTGCATATCCAGAATTAGATGTCATTTGTAACTGTCTGTCGACGCTTGTCACGTTTAGCTTTGAATCAAAACTTTGAAACTTTCGTTTATAGTTACTCTCCTTATGTTACTTATTCCTAAGAAATCATACTCGATCTATTTGTTTTGATAACTAAGTGTTTTCAAACACCAGTTGGTGTTTCTCAGTTGCAATAATGACTTACACATTCTCTACTGCAGTATTGTGAAAACGTCACGGATGTGGTAGGTATATCGCAGCAGGTCGAGTTTCTCTTTTCATCAATTTCATTTAATGCTTGGCCTTTTATCAACAAAACATTGATTCTCAAAAGTGTGCTCTTAGAGAGGAAAATAAACATTTTGGTTTAATCAACTAAATTGCCCACCCTAGAGGGTATCTAGAGCAGACTCTTCGAGCGTTAGCCCTTCTTCAGAGCGAATAGATGAATTTTGGGTTGTGCTTGACTAATTTCCAGAAAGATGGAGCCACGCTACTGGGGGAAAACTTATAACGTGAGATACACACACAAAAAAATTGAAATGAAACGCGTTCGTTCAGGTTTTGCTTTCCGAACTGCGTAGATGTAAGGAGTGGCCGAGGAATGTCATTCGTTGCTTAGAATAATCAGAGCGATTAAAATTTCTACAAGGTGGAGATGCCTCATTCCTTTTTATGTCACGGATGGAATCCTCTCAATAAGCCCAACATAACCTAAAATTCCTCTATTCGCTTTGATAAAGGGCTTACGTTGGAGACGTCAGCTTTAAAATATCTGTTTTACCGCTTCCAGTTCACATTATCAACACGGTTAACAAAACTAAAATGTCTTATAGTATCTTCTACTATTGCAGCACCACTTTCTATTTGAAACTTACGCCTTTTAGTTGAAAAAAAGTATATGTTGGGTTTTTTGCAGATGAAAGCTGCTGACTTTAATCCGTTCACTTGGGACAACAGCAGCAAGAAAGTCCAATCCAATGTCATTAGCCTCGAACTTCAAACGGAAAATGCGACAAAACTGAATGTTTCAAACCTCGATAACGACATTGAAATAGTTATACCTATTTCCACCTCACCTTCAAATACGAGCAACGGAACAGAGCATTATTTTCTAAAGCCAAACAAATTGACTATGAGGAGCTATTATGCAGACCTTGCGGATGTACCTGTTTCCATCAGGCTGGGTGTGGCAGGCAAGGAAACATTAGTTAATATGTTTGTGAAATTTGGCTCAAGACCTACCACAGAGGACTCTGACCTCAACTTCACAGTAAAGTTCACGTCCAAGTGCAGAAATGTGACGACGAGCGAGGCCGACGAAACTTCGTGCATTCCAGAAGAGAGAATCATTACCGTACTTCCTACTGAACCAGGTCACATTTATTTAGGTTTATTGTTAGAAGAATCTAAAAATGCAAGTAAACATACCAGAGAGAGACGGTCATGCTTTGGTCATGGTCGCCAGAGACGATCATGCGTTGGCGTCAAAGATCCACCTCCGAAAGGGATCCTTCAGACGATTGTACCTCGATATAACCCACATACTGATGTCAACTATACGTTAACTATAACCCAGTCAAGCTGTTTGTATTGGTCTGAAGAGGAGGAAAAGTGGACATCCGATGGTTGCAAGGTAAGTTTCAATCCAATTATGATTTCAAAAAATGACTCTTAGAAAACAGGAGAACCAACCACATTGCTCTGAAAGGTCTGCAAGATAAGCTAAATCCCAGTACGAAATCTATTAATATGTACAGATGGCAAGTATTTCTTATATTTCCACGGCAGGTCGGCCTGGGCTCTAACACCACACATCTAAAATGCCTCTGCAACCATCTGACGTCTTTCGGCGGAAACTTCATTCAAGCGCCCAATCCCATAGACTTCGACAAAGTTTTCACTGAGTTTGCTCGACTAAGCGAGTCGGGCAACATTTCAGTGCTCGTGACAATTGCATGTGCGTTTCTTATTTACTTTTTTGCGCTTATATTTGCAAGGAGGGCTGACAAAAGAGATGAAAGCAAGGTATGCATTAAAGTATTGCACATAATATTTACTTAAAAATCATGAAAAATATGACATTTTTATCCGCAATCATCGACCAAGAGTGAAGACATTTTCAACTTTTAACTATTAATGATTGGGCAGAAAAGATAGAAAAATTATCAGTAATCTTGCTATCTTTCTTCCTTTTTTTCTTTTCTCATTTTTTTTCTTTTCTCAGCTTTTTTCTTTATCCCTATCTCTTTATTATCCTTACATCCAGAGAAATTAAAGGATGTGTCAAGCGATGTGAAGTCAAATAAAAACTGCCTTTTTTGTTAAGTTAAGTAGCTGTTTTTGCTGGACATCCCAATAGTTGGGAGGGGAAATATACAAAGCTCGATGACCCATCATCAGCTCAATGACGTAACTCTTTATGTGGGACCATCACCAGATTAACAAGGTAAACTATGTTTTTATGATTAATTGTTTTCACAGATTTCTCCACCGATACAGATAAATCTTGTGGAAGAAGGAGCATACTACTATGACATGGTTATCAGCACTGGCGTTTGGAAAGATTCAGCAACAACGGCAAACGTAACGATGAGCATAAAAGGAGAAAACGATGAACATGATCTCATCACTCTTCAAAAAAATGGTGATTTAGAGGACATTTTTAGTAGAGGAGGTATAAATAGTTTTGTTTTGGTCACAAACGAGTCATTAGGAAATCTAAACGAAATAACTTTGGAGCACGATAATTCGGGAGAAAATCCATCTTGGTTTGTAGAAACAGTGGTAATAAGAGACAGACAAACAGAAGAACGCTGGGTGTTCTCCGTTAATAGATGGCTTGCACTAGAAAAGGACGATGGACAGATAGAAATTAATGTGAAAAACGAAGCAACTACTTCCTTTTCAGCAGAGGTGAGGTCGCGCTTTGGGAGGAAAATAGCTGACAATCATTTGTGGATGTCAGTCTTCGGCAAACCGTGCAGTAGTACATTCACGCGTGTGCAAAGAGCGTCTTGTTGTCTTTCAATTCTCTTCAGTGCAATGATAGCCAATGCCATGTTCTATAATATTGATGGGGAATCAGCGGGAGCAATACAAATTGGACCTTTCAAGTTTTCCTGGAGACAAATAGTGATTGGAGTACAGAGTGCTATAATAGTTGCACCTGTAAATATACTTATAGTGTTTCTGTTTAAGTCTAGTAGAAAAAAGAAGAGGAAAGAGGACAAATATAAGGAATCCTTTCAAACAGAACAACTCGTCGATGAAATAAATGGTCAAGGCTGTATCCTGCCATATTTCTGTGTATACATCGCATGGTTTCTCTGCTTTGTCACCACTATGACAGCAGCAACATTTACGTTATTTTACAGTTTGATGTGGGGTAAGGAAGTCGCTGAGCAGTGGCTGGCGTCCATTCTTATTTCCAATGGACAAGACGTTTTTGTTATGCAACCAACAAAGGTCATGTTAGCAGTTCTTTTAGTTTCCTTTCTTTTGAGTAGAAACAAAGAGGATGGTGGGGAAGAGGGAGATGTCAAAGAGGGTAAACTCCAAGACAATGACTTAGATTTCCTCAGTGATAATCCTAAACAACGCTTTAAACAGAGCCTCATGGAGAAAATGCGCATACGGAGTAGGAGAGAGGCTCAACTGGCACTCAAAACAAGGGAAATTGTCCTGCATTTGGTATTTGTGTTTCTGCTGTCGGTCGTCTGCTATGGCAACAAGAATGAGAATCGTTTCTTGATGACAACAGAGATGAAAAATACTTTCACAAGCTTTGATCTGGTATAAAAAATTTCGTTTTTATATTTCTGCGAATGATAAAAATCAATATAAGAAATTATAATGCCATACTGTTGATGTGAAAGTGATGTTAGTCATGGTAACGATGATATAAATGATAATATTAATGATAATGGTAATGATAATGACAATGACGATGATAATGATGTAAATGACGGCAACGGCGATAATAGTGATGTATGATTTAAAACGACAAAGCCACGTCATAAGTAGGCAGTATATTTCAAATGGTTATTTGAGGGGCTAAAACTGACACATGTAATTAAGCCTGCTGATGATGACGGTAGTTCTTGCGATTTCAAATGAAATGATACGTTTTCATTCTTTGAATCATTAAGAGGCCTTAGCTTAAAGTAATAGAGGTCAAGGCGTGATATATAACTGCAGTGTAGAAGCTGGGTTTTGCTCATCTTCTAAGAATACGGTGGAGCGTAATCAAAACAAAATCTTTCATTCCAATTTAATAAACAAAACGGGTTAATATTTTCAGATAGGCTACTGTAGAATGTTTGGTCGATGGAACCTTACTTACCTCCAAAATTACATGCAGAAAGTGGAAAAGATTCACGAGCATGATATTCAGTAAGCTATTCTCTCTTCTTTTTCGACTTTGAAGTATCCTGATAGTCGTAAGGTTTTTTATATGTTCGACAATAATGGATATCTCTTGGTCGAAAAATTCAGTGTATTTTTACGTCAGTTAAAACAAGTGAATATCCAATTTATCAATGCAGTTATTTGAACTCATCGCGTTTGTGCTCCGTGATCAGGTTACTGACTCTCAGCGACTGTGGGGATGGCTTAGAAAGCAGTTTCTGCCAAACGTATACAACCAAGACTGGTATAATGGCCTTGAAGAGCAAAATGATGTTTACATTGCTAATAAGATGTCTATTTTGATTGGCATGCCTTGGATGCGACAGTTAAGAATTCACAAAAGTACGTTTGATGACATTACGCTGTTTTTATTGGGTAAACTGTAAAAATGATCCGTTTCAAACTCTAATCATTCTTTTCATCGTGTTTTGAAGGTCGTTGTGAATCACATCCTGAAACTATACCAGACTGCTACTACGACTACTATCCAGAGATAGAGGACACAACAGAGTGGAGTCTTCCAGGTTGGCAGCCTCTTCCCTACAATACATCCTGGCCAAAGGCACTTCGAATTTGTCCAAAACCCTGGCGTTATCAGACAGCTCAAACGCTAGACACTTATCCTGTGAAAGCCGTGTACAACACTTATGATGGAGGTGGATTCGTAGCCGTTTTGGGATATGATGAGCATACAGCAAATCGTAGCTTAGGTGAGACTTTTGGCAACGGGTGGCTTGATCGAAAAACTCGTGCTGTAATCCTGCAATTGGCGGCGTTTAACATCAATACGAACCTTATTAGCATTGTCACATTTATCTACGAGATGATCGCGGCTGGTGCAGCCTACACAGTAATGAGAGTTGATACCCTCGAGTTGTACAGTACGGAGTCGGGAGCTCTCATGTTTTATCTCATTTGTCAGTTTTCATTCTTGGCAATGGTGCTATTTTACCTTGTCATTATGTTGTTTCACCTTTACCGACAACGGATGGAATTTTTCAAGTCTGTCTGGAATATGGTTGATTTCTTGATGATCATCTCTTCTGCAACGTCTGTAGCGTGCTACATGATGAGATCCAAGAAAATCTTAAACAGCATCAATGCAATTCAGAAAAATCCGTTCGAAATAATTCATTTTCATTCTGCTCTAAATTGGGCCAGCTGGGAAAATTCTTCAATCGCTCTCGCGATTTTTATGGTTACTGTGAAGCTTTTAAATCTTATTCGCTTTAATCCATATGTCATATATTTGTTTTCATCTTTCCGCCGGTCTGTGGGCTACCAGCTGTCCTATTTTGTTTTCTTTGTCATAGTATTTAACGCGTTTGTTATTTCAGGAATGGTGCTTTTTGGAGGCGTAGTTTATCATTACTCTAGTTATCTGCACGCTGTCATATCGCAATTTGAATTTCTGTTGGGAAAAGCAGTCCCAATGGCTGATCTTCGCAAAGATAAACCTTTTATCGGGCCAACGTTCGTTCTTATGTTCATGTTAATGATGACGGTATTTCTTATGAATATGTTGGTGTCTGTCCTGAACGAATCCTACACTGACGCTAAGGATAACGCAGAAGAAAGTTCAGAAGAGCTTGAAATGGCGCGCTTCATCGTGGAACGTTTTATGGACTTATTCCAAGAAGGAAAAAGGCGACCTGAGTTTAAATTATTTTGTGACGAAACAACTTTTGTTAACATGTGTCGCTCAGACGCAGAACCATTCTGTGTAAATTCTCAAAGTATACTTCAGTGCACAGAGGAACGGTTAGAGAACTTAGATAAAAGAATAAGCGCACTCATCAGACGCACGGACAACATCGACGGTGATGACCAAAAAGAGGAAGAAGAGTTTCTCTCTCTCCTCAACTCAATAATCCTTTCTTATTGATATTAAGATGGCTTCTGTTTTCATTTTGTTCCGAGTTTGACACGAACTTACCTTGTGAATTATCGATTCTTCATTGCTTCGTTACTACTACTTTGATGGTGTATAGGATTCTCTCCCTTAAAGTTGGCCTTTAACATTTCTGTCATTACAAAGATGCGATGGAGTCCAAACCAACTCGTTAACCTTTTACTACCGAGCATCAGTATGCACACTCTCCATACTTTTCTCTACAAAGTGCTGACAAAGAGAAGTTTTTAATAAAAAAAGAGCTTCTTTAGTCTGTGATTATTTTTTATTCTCTTGACCTTCATGTTTGATTCAGGGGTGATACTGTAGGCAAAGATTAAATGCCAGGCACTCGAAAGAGTTTAGGGGTTAACTTGCCTTTGGCTATGATTCAGTTCCTTATCCAGTGTAGGCGCAAGAATTTGTACTATCATTTTTTGTTAGTGTTGGTGTTTCATAGTTTCGTGTTAGGTGTTTATTTTCTCGTCTTCCATTAGTGTCCTTTGTCAGTTACCAGTTTTGTACTTGTTATATTTATTTGCATATCGTATATATATTGGTTGCACGTAATTTATTTGGTTAGTTGTCTAGTTTGTGAAAATTACCGTTACATATCTAGCTCTGGGTTTCATGTTTTCGTCTTTGGGTTGGTCACATTCGTCTTGTAAGTATCCTTGTTTATCTCGCTTTGTCGTTTTTACTTTCACTCATACGATGTAAGTTATTTTATGCTCATTCGCGTGTTTGTAATTTTGTCATTTTCAGTTACCGTATTCAACAATGTGTCAAGTTTGTTCTAGTAAAGTTTGAAATACGTGTGATTAGCGTTTGCGACTATATCCAGCGCAAAATCACATCGCTGCGATACATTTATTTGTAGTAATATGAAATTGAGCAGAAGCGGACGATGTGTTAAAAATGCCCTTTTAATAGCAGTTAATGTTACGTTAAGTAATAAATAACATATTCCGAAACTGGTTTTATGTCATGCATAGTGAACAGACAACACTGTGAAAATACATCGGTCGTCCAATCAGAAACACGAACAATGTTACTTCACAGTGGTGGGCAACAAATAGCTTCCAATCCTTGAAGTGTGTCGGTCAGTAAGAACAAATTTCAGTATGTGTGAAAGAAAAACATCATACCATGGGAAACGCGCTCGAAGGATTTTTATTCACGTTGCGATGCATGAAAGACTAATTCGTTCGCAGCGCTCATTCGTTCGCTTTATATATATAACAAATTGTGAATGACAATCGTTCATATTTGCGATGTGAACTTATTTCCCCCCTCCTTCCCCGATCATAATTTGACAGCAGGAGTCTTCGGCCTACTTAATTTGAACATCAAGAGTCCCAGGGATGATGGCTCTTTTGCTCGATTCTTTTTAAGTTGCAGGCCTTGTTGTGAATATTTAAATTAACTTCTGATTCGACAATTCGATTTTGAAGTTACGTTTTAGTACTACCTACTTCGTGTAGCTAAATAATATATATGTTTAGCTAATCTTAAAAGTGGAGCTCTTGTTACTTTATTTTCCAGCCCTTCGTCATACCAGGAGCCCATTACTGGCGTTCAACTGCCCTGTTCTTTTGTCACGGCGTTTTCACAGACTAGTTTATATTTAGTTTGAATTTACCGCGAATTAGGACTCCCCACGAGAGCACATCGACCAATGAAGATTAGCGCCTGGTTAATTTCTAACTTTGCTCGTTAATATATCGAAAGAAAAATGGCAGAGAGATGCAAGGATTCCTGCGATAGTTCGAGTGCAGATTCGTGTGAACAAAGGCGTCCCAAGCTCACTTCTCGAGGAAAAGTAAACGATTAATTCATGAAAGCGTCACGCGTTGTGTGACCCGGTGTTAACTTAAGAGAGGACCGTTGAGAATTTGAACACGTTATAAGGAATGGCATGGGGAACGACATATGGTTCGATATGGTAGATTTACAAAGATAAATATTTCGAAATGTGAACATTTTACACGTGAAATCAATTGCATTTACTTGCATCTTGTAGTGTGGTTTTTTTTTGGTTTTAATTGCATCCGTCGTGGTTTTCGGCGTTCTCTGCTGTTTTAAGCTTGCTTTGTTATCACTGTTATTCCTGTTGTATGACAACGGTCGAAATCGAAGTATGCATAGGCAGCGGTATCTTCAAAAAGCTAAGGGATTCCGTTGTTGTTCCGATGTTTTGAGCAAATTCTCGAAGACAGGGAATATTTTCTTCTTCAGATGAAGTGTATGATGTAAGCATCAGATGAAATTAAACTCTATTTGACGTGGCTTATAATTTCAGTTAAGGAAAATGGGCCAAAATTGAAGGAAACGACGGTAAACTACTTCGCGTTATTAGACATCACTTGTCGTTTGAAGTGTATACACGTGACAACAGTTAGTCAGTAAAACAATACACCACAATCGCATTGGCTTCTCTTATACCTTCTCTTGAAGTTGCCAGGTGTGACTGCTTGCCCCACCGTTTTTCCCTGACGTTTCAACCTCCTCTGTAAGCGTAGAAAATGAAAAAGAAAAGTAATTTTCAATACGTTTTTCAACCTGTAATTTTTAAAAACTTTTTCGCTTTAGGCTCTTTTTGTTTCACGATTGTCCTCTGGCTAGAGATACACGACATCTCTTTCTGATTTTTTTCTGTTACTTAATTCGGTAACCTCCGCTGTAACTGCAAATAGTGAGGATGTCTTCAAGAAAATTGAGATAATACCTGGATTTCATTTCCACATCACAGAAATCAATTCCAAACATCAGTCGAGTTTTCTCTTTAGTTTAAAAGTTGAGTTGATGTTGTTAATGGCTATATTAAATAGGTTGAAAAGTTTTAAATTTTATTTTCTCATGTTTGCCATTAATTGAATTTTCTGGAAGGTGGAGTTGTTGCAACATGTTAACATGAAACGCAACAATATATTTTATTGCAGGTGATTAAGTGTTTACAACTGAGTTGAAAACGTACATTGGCCACCGTAAAGGGTAAAAAAGCTGACGTTTCGAGCGTAAGCCCTTCGTCAGAGCGATTGGAGGAGTTGTGGGTTGTGGGTGAGTTTATGTGCAGAAAGTGGAGCTACGCTATAGTTGGGAATATGGTGACGCGAAAACAGGAATAAATTAGTTGAATGAAAAGCGCTCGTTGATTCTGTGGGGACTATGCAAATGTTATTTACTGCATAACTTGCCCTTATTGTAATAAGTTTGACATTGGCGAAACAGGAAGACGACTAGGTGACCGATTCCGAGAACACCTTCGCGACGTGGAAAGAAATGACAAGGACGCATCCAAACCAGTCAATAGACACTTTAATCTCCCCAATCATTCAAAACAGCATATAGCAGTTTGCGGCCCTTCCTTACATCTAGGCAGTTCAGAAAGCCGCAAAACACTAGAACAAAAATTTATCTGCCAAATCGGCATACCCTTAAATTACCTGCTATACTCTTCCACCGACGCAGCACCACAGTTTCTTTGAAAACTTACCCCCTTTATTCAATATATTTTATTGATATGTAAACAGTTTTCATTTTACTATCTACTGGCAAGTCTTTTAACTATATTTCAACCCAACCATTTTCCACAACTTGTAAACACTATCACAAATTAATTAGTCAAGGAAATGGAAAATTTGAGGCATATACACCCTGTTTGAAATGCTACATAATAAGCTAACAGGCTTGAGGAGGGTGTAGGTGGAAAAAGGCTCTTTTGTCTGTATTCAAATAATCACCTGAATGAAAATTTATGTTTTTTACAACCTGCTTCCTTTAACCCTTTAACTACCATTTGTGACCAAGACAGAATTTCTCCTTACAATATCAAGCAAACAAGTGATGAGAATGAAGAAAAGTATTAATTAGGGGATTATTTGTTGATCCAATACCAAATTCTGAAAACTAACATCGCAAGAACTATATGGCAGACAGAAACAAAAGAAAATCGTCAACTCACAAAGTTCCTTCATTGTTTTTGTTGACAGGATATCCTTTAGCGTGCAATTTAATATTTTCACACTTTTTGTCTTCGTTTTTTCATTGAGAATGATACCACTTGTAAAAATCTGTTCTCAAAAAAAATCGATATCTCGAGATCTACTGAGTCGAAGAAATCACTTGAAACAGGAAAATACTCTTTACATCAAGGCAGTGCTAGCTAAGTAATTTCACTGATGCGTCGAATATTCTATTAATTATGCAGCGCCACGAAATGAACATGTCGGCTTCATTTTCATGTGAATTGCTCTGAGGCCAGCTTTTCCACAATAAATTCTTTTATTTTCAATTTAACTTCCCGTGTAAGTGAGAATTGCTTGTGAACTTAACATAGGAAAAAGCAATGAAACTGACAAGGTAAGAAACTAAGTGTACAAACAAGATAAAATTTTGCATGTTTTCGATTTGCATCAGCTTTCATCGAGAGCATCTAAGTCTCTTATTATAATGAGTAATCAAGACTATAACAAAACTCGTGATTAACAAAGCGGACTCCTGCTTCGCGTTCGTCCGATTTTGTTAATCACTCGTATGATTACAGACCGAATCGGACTCCACTCGGTCCTATTACCATTATAGATCTGCGCGAAATAAATGAGTTATCTCACAGATTTTTTGAAGACTATCTTAAGTAGATCTTATCATCTTTGCTTTTTTCTTGCCCATAGTTTTCAACCTCTACCGGAAGCTTTAAAAATTATCGTATTAACCGCAACTTCCTATAACCCGCACCAAAAACTGTTTGTGCAAAATTAACAGATTGCCCACAGGTAATCAGCCGGAAATTACGGTACTAATAAGATCTTGGGAGTTAAAGGGTTAACTGTGCTCTAGAAATAGTAAATGGTATTGAAGAGAAAGGAAAAAAGTTCTTGAAACATTCTATGTTAAATTAAAACTTTGTTATGAATATCAATTGGGATGGCAACCAAAACATCTGTAAAACTATAATAACAATTACCTTTCCATGTAAACAAACCATAATGAAGCATGATATGAATTAATTAAAACTTACCCAGCTTAAATGTAGAATCGAAAATCTAATGAACTTACTGGGAAATAGGAAAAAAGTTCAATGTGTTTTTCCTGCTTCTGTCATTCTAAAAATCACAAATCAATCACACCACCCCTTCAGTGTGTGTGTTTGTTTGTTTGTTTGTTTTTTTTGATGATGTGTACTTTTTCTTATGGACATCTATTCTAAGTATCTATCTTTTACCAGCTGACATCTGAGAAGAATCAAGTCCACACT